TTTCTAAAATATCGACTTCAATAATGAATAAAAGCACTGTATATTATTAAGCTAATAAGTTAGGAAATATTTATGCATTATCTCTATATAAAGTTATTGTAGTTTTTAGATTTCTTGCACAATACGTTGGGTGTTTAATGTTCTATGTAGATCAAATTTATGTATAGTCCCATACTAAAATTGTTCCAATACCCGACACCAAGAGATGAGACTAATAATACGAAAAATAGGTGATTCTAAATTGTCGCATTACTGCATTAATAATAATTTATGAAGAAAAAAATTTTCAATGAGGTATGACATTTGAATTTTTAATTTTTAAGTCCCTATCATTACCGACACCACATAGGTTTAAGATTGGCATTTATTTAATTGCAGGCTAGTAAATTGTCATCAAGTCCCCATCATTACCGACACCACATAGGTTTAAGATTGGCATTTATTTAATTGCAGGCTAGTAAATTGTCATCTATCTGGCGTATATATCTGACGTAATTCAATATTAAAAATTTTACAATTGCTCAGCAGACCTTATATTTTAAAATAACATTTTTAGAATCATTGTCTTCGTTACACAAAAAATGCACTACCATAGTTATTTTTAGTGCTTGTAGTCGATCATTATTTACGTATTGACTTGACTAAGTCTATATTTAAAAATCGGCTTAGCCGGCTAAGTCAAAGTCAATCAATCATCTTTGTTTGACTTTCGAAAATTATTGTATATTTTCTAAAATTTTTCTACGACCTTGTTCGTATTTTATGTTCGTTAAATTTCTTTTTGTAATTTTTCGGGAGATAATGTAATCTACAAAGTCGGCCTAAATTTAATTGGTTGCTGTAATTTTTTAATAAAGTCTACGTAGCATAAAATCGACTAAGCCGATTTTTCAAAAATTGGCTGACTAAGCCGGCTAAGCCGATAAAATCGACTAATGCAAAATCGACTACAAGCACTAGTTATTTTTACTATACATAAATTTGTTCTTAAAAGTAAATATTGAAATGTATGTAAGCCAACAAACATTATGCATTAAGATGCTATTAGTTATAATAAAGTTTAGAGTAAACTATAGTTTATTTATATTAATCGTAAATTATAGTTTGCATCATCACTATATAATAGAATAAAACTCATTTTCAGAGGATCTAAAATTTATTTCAGACAATGTCTGACACTCGTTTTGAAAACGAAATAAAAAATTTGAAGGATAAAATCGATGTAACTCCAAATGCGAGTTTGTTGTTTCTTGATATTGATAACTTCAAGCAATACAATGAAGGAACAGGGAGGAATCACAAGACAGGAGATGATGTTATAAAAGAATTTGAACTCTTTATGAATAACGAGCTTAATAAAGAGCTTAAGAAAAAGTCTGTATATTCATCTTTTAACAGATATGGTGGAGATGAGTATACTATTTTACTTAATTGTCCAATTTTGGATGCCTATAACCTTGCTGACTATCTTTTGAAGAAAGTTAGAAAGCATCTATTTAATTCTAACAATGAAAAAATGAATGTTACGCTTAGCATCGGTGTTTGTGCAAAAAGTTCGTTTGTAACAACTTCAGAGAGTTTAATAAATAATGCAGACTTCGCTGCAAAAAAGGCTAAACGTCTTGGTCGCAATCAAGTTGTATTATTTAGAAGCACTCTGTACTTTGTTAAGATCCCAATTCCATTTAGAGTAATTATAATTGCCGAGGAAAAAAATGTTGTTTTAAGGGATCTTCTAATATGGTGAATCTGAAGTTCGATTATATGTTCACTTGTTAAATCAAAGTTCCACAATGAATTTGTAATAATTCAATCGATTTCATAAATACATAAACTATCAGTGAACTTATAGAAATGATCAATAAAAAATTGAATAAAGCGTACACGAATACAAAAAAAGCTTATCACAAAGCGAAAGAAGCAAAAAAGAATTTTTTGGTGTGGCTTCTGCGTAAACTTCAGCAAATCCTTCAGTTGGGCGTGAATTTTCTTGTGGGTGGGGGCGCGGAATCTCCTTATGGATACGCAGATGCCGTAAGTTTGATCACATATAGACCCTTATGGCAAAGAGCAGTGGACATTTAATTGCTTGTAGAAATTCATTACATAATTCTTCAAACAATTGAAATGTCTCACTGCTACCTTTTGCTATGAGGTTTAAAATATTTATTCGTAAAATCAGAATTGATGTTAACTGATATTTCAATCGATTCATAACTATATTAACTACCAGGGAGTAAGTATAAAGTTCCAATTTTATATATTCATTAGTTATATTCAAAAATCCTAACAAATTAGTCTGCGTAATACTAATTTTATTAATACATTACTACCAGGTTGTGAGTATAAAATTCGACTATATATATTCGTTTATTAAGTCAGAAGTCCAAGCATTATGACTGATTACATAAATTGTATCAAATAACAGTTTGTAAATATAAAAATTTAATTACATCTTTCATTTCACAATGAATTAGTACTAAATAATATTTCAACTGATTATATAAATCACATCAATTACCAGAGAGTAAGTTCGATTATGTGTATTCATTAAATTAGAATTTCGTATGAATTAATACTAAATATTATTTAAATCGATCACATAAATTGCATAAACTACCAGGAAGTGAGTACTAAGCTCGATATATATTCATTTGTTAAGTCAAAATTTCACAATGAATTAAATTACGTAAATTGCATTAATCATTAGACTGTAAGTTCTATAAAGTAGATTCATTTATTAAATCAGTATTTTGCAATAAATTAGTACTAAACTTATATCAATATATAAACTACTAGTGGGTATGTTCGATTATGTATATTTATTTATTAAACCAGAATTTTATAATTATGCTAAATAGTATTCAATTAATTACATAATTACATAAATCACCAGCGAGTAAGTATAAAGTTCAATCACATATTTATTTGCTAAACCAGGTTTCAAATGAATAACTAGTATTAAATAATATTTCAATCAATCACATAAATCACATAACTATCAGGGAGTAAGCATAAAATTTGACTACATATATTCGTTTATTTAATCAGAATTTTATAATAAATTGGCACTAACAATATTGCAATTGATTACATAAATTATATCAATCGTCAGATTGTAAGTATATTTATTTATTTAACCAAAATTCACAATAAATTAGTATTAAATAATCACATATATTATATCAACTACTAGCAGGTAAATTAAATTGAGCATATTCATTTATTAAATCAGAATTTTACAATAAATTAGAGCTAAATAATATTTCAATCGATTGCATAAATTACATCCAACTATCAGAAAGTAAGTATTAAGTTTGATTGTGTGTATTTGTTTAATTATAATTGCGATGAATTTGTGCTTAAATTATTACATTCTACTAATAGAAGGTAAGTTCTACTACATTTGCTGATAAAAATTTCACAATAAATATTTCAACTGATTATATAAATTACAAGGATGTAAGTATAAAGTTCGATAGTGTACACTTCATACTGAGTTAAAATAGTACATAACTGATTACTCAAACTACCAGGAAGTGAGTATAAAGCTTAATTACATATATTCATTTTTTAAATCAGAATTTTACAATAAATTAATATTAAATAATATTTCAATTGATTATATGAATCACATTAATTACCAGTTTGTAAGTGTTTGAGACTATATATTCATTTTTAAATAAGAATTTCACAATGAATAATATTTTAATCGATTACGTAAATTGTATTAATTACTAGGGAGTAAGTATTTAATTCAACTTCATATAAATCAAAATTTTACAATGTATTAATGCTAAATAATATTTTAACTAATTACATAAATTACATTAATAACCAGGAGGTGCATATATTTGTTATTAAATTAGAATTTTATAATGATTTATACTAAATCATATTTCATTCGATTACGTATATTGCAACTATCAGGGTGTGAGTACAAAGTTCGGTTATATATCATTTGTTAAATTCGAATTTCACAACAATTAGAGCTAAATAATTTTATATTAACTGTAGGAATATATTTATTTAAGTCAGTTTTATAATGAATCAGTGCTAAATAATATTTCATCTGATTATATTAATAACATCAACTATTAGATCAAATTGTAAGTACGGAGTTCGATTAATATTTTATTTGAGTGTCGACAAGCGAAAACCAGCAATTTCGATTTTTGCCGGCTCCGCTTTCTGATCTGATTCCTGATAAATTTAAATTAAGTACAACATAAATTATATAATGTGTTAAATCACATTTTTTGGGGTTTGATCTGTAAAATTAATTTCGGAAAACTCACAATTCCCTGTTTTTGCTTGTCGACACTCATTTATCAAATCATAAAAGATAAAATCAGCATCGGAAATCGAAAATGTTGGAATTTCTGAGATCGTAGAAATTCCGGTCAAATAATACAATATTTTTATCGTAAAACAGAATTCCAGATGCGAGGTTACATGAAATCAAACAAGCCAGAGCCAGATCTTTCAAGAAGGTGAGTATAAAGTTATTATTAGAAAATGGAACTATTATCTGGAGTGTGCTGCAATTACTTTTGTAATGCAAATTACGATTAGCTGTGCAGAGTTCACATGTACTAAAGCCTGTTACTACATGAAGTTACAAACATATATACGATGTGTGATAAATGGATAGCATAATTATGTTTTAATCTTTTTAGTAAAAATACTTCAAAAGTGTTCTACATTCGCTCTGAAAAATCTCTCAATTCATGTCACTTTCTAATCATCACACTATTTTTATTAGTTAACGGCGAATAGGGAACAATAATAATTCAAATTTTACTTTCCTAATAAAGCTGAAGTGTTCCTCAATGTAAACCCATAGTTTATTTAACCCCGAAGTATAGTCTTAGAATAAATCCTTGTCATTTCAACTTTAAAATAGTACTGTACGTATCTGAAATTATATATATATTGCAAAAAATCTCACATTCGTATAGCACATTTGAAGCAATTTTTTCTTTTAACATTTTATTATGCAACAACAAATGAAATTAAATATTAAAACAACATATAAAGCTATGTTAAATTAAATCGATTGTATTTTATTATTTATTATTGAATCAATTTTCTATACCAATCCAATTTCAAAATATGTAATAAATCTGGATTTTCAACAACATCAATATGAAAAGTGTGGATTTGTAATATACCGTAAAACAGAATTATTGTTTAAAATGCAAAATAAGCAACAATATATTACAAAACAGGAAAAGAAGAAATAGAAGGTGTTTATTGTATTATTCCATTATGAAAAGTTTATTATTTTTTACTTTTTTTTTACCTAATTTTCTTTGAACATTCAATAATCCTCAGCCCCTACCATATTATAAAGTTCCTGATCCAATGCCTTCTATTTATTTATCAATCATTAATAATGGCTCAAGTCCAAATACTAGACTTGATGTTAATGCGATTACTGAATTTATTAATGAGGTTACGTTTTCTTATTTTAAAGATAAAAAGAAATATTACAGACGTTCTCGATATAAACGTAATGATGGAAATTGGAACAGAGCTCAATATTTATCAGACTTAAATGAGTTGAAAATAGTTGTTTTAGATGAACCACAAGAAATATTATTAAAAAAATAATTAGACTCTTTTGTTAATGACAAAGAATTTTATAAAAAAAATTGGTGTCCCCTATCGACGTGGTTTTCTTTTATATGGTAAACCTGGAACTGGAAAAACTACATTAATAAACATCATATCATCTTATTTGTCACGAGATCTCTATTATCTTAATCTCAAAGAAATTAAAAATGATAATGATATGAGTGCTGCTTTTAGTTCTGTTCCACCGAATCAAATAATTGTTCTTGAAGATGTTGATACGCAATCAAATATTCTGTATAAAAGAGATAAAAGCGTTAGCTTAAATTATTATAATTTATATCTGAAGATTTTATATAAGAAAATAATGATCTATCAAAATATAAGGATTTATTTTCATTTATTAGTTTATCTAATTTTCTTGGGTGTTTGGATGGGCAAATATTATCAGAAAGCACAATAATTATCATAACAACTAATCATATTGAATATCTTGATCCCGCATGGTAAAAAAAGATTTAATGTATTTCTATTGACCCGATCTATTAAACTTATTCTATTTCTTATTCTAGCATTCGCCCTGGTCGTATGGATGTGCATTTGAACCTTGAATATTGTATGCATTACCAAATTAGCAAGATGTATCAGAATATTACAAAAAAGAATTTTCCAATAAATATCTTAAAAAAAATTCCGGATAGAATATTGCCCCCTGTGATGTGATGATAACAATGATATCATATAGAAATGATTATGACCTTATATCAAATAAGATACTTGAACTGGCTAAAAAGTATCAACTTAATAATTAACAGCATTTTAATTTAAATGCTATATACCAATATAGACTCAATTTAAATAATACTAATAAAAGTACTATATAACAGGGATGGTTTCCAGCTTGTAATTTTCCTACAGGCCTTAAACGACTTGTACTGTTCACGAAATATGGTGTAATCACGTAACAGTACACGAATAAAAAAAATTTACATTATTTTATTTTTTTCAGATCATTAAAATAATAATTGTGAGTATTGAGTTAAATGATTATGTAATGAAATCAATTGACAAAAAAACTTTATGAAATTCAAAAAATTATTTGAATCGGCCAATAATGATAAAAAGGAGTACTATCTAGAATATAAACAAACAAACTTTTGATTCGGCCAATAAAAATTAATATATTTTTTAATTCCCAAATTTGGTCAATCGGGAATGTAAATAAACAAAATTTTGAATCGGCTAATCGGCCAATAAAATTAATATTTTTTTAATTCCAAATTTGGTCAATCGAGACAAAAACAAAATTCAAGATCTACATTATTTATCGTTCATTACTTATATTATAATAATATTTTCCAAGACTTGAAGATTTTCTTGTATAATCTCAAAAAATGGAATCTGAATCAGACCATTAATTTTCTTTGAATTCTCTTTTTATATGTTATTGCCTTGTTTAAATTAGGGTGTTCCTCAATAGAAAGGAAAATTAAATAAAATTTTTAATACTTTTGGAAGGTCAAGTCATTAATTTGCCCTAAATTTTTATTAAGAAATAAATTGAATTTACACAAATTGTCAACTATGATTGTAAGGTACCAATCTAAAATAATTCTAAACGATTGTAAGGTGCCATTTTAACATTTAACCAAACTGTAATGATAATGAAGACTATAACTTATTTCAAAACATTTTTGTACATAATAAATATTAATATTAACTGTTAACCTCTTATTTTTACTTTCCGCTAGCTTGATTTTTACTGAAAAGTTTTGAAAAAGAGTTTTTTGTTCTTTTTTTGCCTGTCAGTCATTATTTTTCTCTATTTCTCGTAATATTAATATTCACAAGAAAAAAAAAAAAAAAAAAAAAAATTCTACTTCTTGTTGCTGTAAAGCAACTTCGCTAATGACTCCATAAATTTATTCTGCTATTATTGCAACAAAAGATTTAAATTTAATATCATCATTGATTGTGATGCTATAATGTATATAATTTATTAAATAAATACTGCAATTTATTAAAAAAAAACAATAAAGGAATCGTAAAGGAGAGGAAGAGAAAACGAATTAAAGGAACCGAGTAGTGACGATCCTTGGGTCGGATCGGTTAAAGTTTATGAATAATTTAATTCGAAGTTTGATTTTTCCAGGTCGAAAGACCGTTGAAAATCAAAAAAACAAATACAATCGTCGAGGCGTGCCAAACCTTCGATGAAGGGAGTTTCATTTTTCCATGCATAGAAACCCGTAATAAACGCACCCGCGCAAAAAAAATCACACGACGTTGTTATACATTTAAGCTTGCACCACCACCTCGATCTTCCGAAAACAACGAAACAAAAGACCGGACCAATGTGAATCCAGAATTTTTTATCACGAAAACTCTATAAAACGGATTGCTTCATGTTAGAGTGGGGACGAACTAATTTAAAACACCCCAGTAATTTCACCACTTCTGGCAGTTAGTTTTTCGCGAGGTATCTAACCCTCGAGTGCCCTTTGACGAACAAAGGTCGTGTCGGTTCTTTTTGGTTTAACCAGAGAAAAATATGTCATTTCAGTGAGATTATGGGAAACAAGCTGTGCTTCCCTACCAACCAAACACCCCTCCCCTTAACTCAGACCACAGACAGGAGCATCTGTGGAATAAAAAAAATATTGATTTCTATCAGGGATTCACCCGGTCAGACCGGAACCCCCGAAAAGAATATAACGACCGAGCGCAACACCGAAAACAATGAAAAAGATCCAAGCCCGTAACCTAACTATGAAATACGTAAAGGGACTCATAGAAAGAATTACTCACTGAGTTGTCATGACCGATAAACCGATCAATCTACCTCATGTAAGAGATCCTTCCTCTAATCATCGAACCCTCTAGAAATCACATTTTCGCACCAACATGAGGACAGCCTTACACCGACCTCACCAAGAGACCAAGTTCCCTCGAATTCACATACGGATGCTGGTCGTGAGAACGGTTAGAGTGATTCCGGGCGATCGGCAGCCTTACAATGTCCTTGACGGGCTGAGGATTTTTACCTCATAGGGTAATACTCGAGCATTACGAGCGTTAGCCTTTCGTTCAAAAACTACCCAACGTATGCTGCGGTTTTTAGTTAGGTTAGTAAAAAAAAAAACACATAAACAAACCAGCATTCGAAAATGTTAGATACGGGTTCGACAACCGAAGAAGTCGAAACTATAAAGAAAAAAAAGATCTCCAAACAATGATGAAGCTAATTTTTTATTAAAAAAAAATAATAATAATAATAAACCATAAAAAAAAGGGGTGACTCAGAGGCTAACAAGATTAAAAAAAGGGAGACGTTAACGAAAAAACCGTAAATGCAACGTCAGGAAACGAAATACGGCCGGCACACGAAGAAACAAAAAACAAACTGAAAACTACGCTAAAAAACATTCCTTTATCTTTTTCGAAGAGGTGCAGAAATCGAAAGACATAACCCTCGAGAGTTCTCAGGGAAGTAGGAACCAAGCAAGAAAATAATACTTCTCCGCTACGAACGACGTTTCCACTGCAAAAGTTTGTAAGTGTGTTTGGGAAAAAAAAACAATAGAAGGAAGAAAGACCATAAAATAATATATTCTCCGTGACGAACGATGACACCCGACGGCATTGAAACTGAAAAAGGTTCGTAAGTGCGCTCTCCACAAAGACAACAAAAAAAACAGAGCAAAAAAAACTAAAAAAAAATAGTCTCCTCCAAACGACATCGGTACTTTGTTTCCTCCTCAAATAAAAAAAATAGTCTCCTCCAAATGATATCGGTACTTCGTTTCCTCCTCAAAAAAAATAAATCATAAAAAAAATAAAAAGTAATCATCATCTGTTTTAACATATTCGTTCAAACCATTCAAAAAGAAATAAACTCATACTTCCCTACAATTCGAAATCAAATCTTCGTCGACGAAAAATAGAGAAAAAATAAATAATAAAAAAATAATGGGAAAAAAATGAAAAGGGAAAAAAAGAAAGAAAGAAAAGGGAAAAAAGAAAAAATAATCGTTCGCTTCAATAAAATTTTCCGAAGAGCCGACAAATGTTTCGAATTGCTACACTTTTGCCCTTGCCCATTTGAAAACGAATCCCAGAGCATATCTTACGGTCAATTCCTGCGAGCCAGTTTCACGTCTAAACACTCGTATTCGTTACCAACTCGAAACCTTCGTCAGTTCTCAGTTCAATTTCAGAGAACATACACTTTGACGGAGTCAAAAAGATAAAAAAAAGTTTATAAAAAAAACTACGAAAACAAAAAGAAAGACATTTTATGTGTATGGAAGCTTCAAGTTTAGACTACCACATTCAGTGGCCCTATCCGCACAATAAAAAGAAAAGGTAAAAAAAAATATGAAAGGGAAAGTTTAAAGAACAAAGGAAAGAAGTTAAGTGATCGACATTTGTTTACACATCGATTTAAAAAAAAAACGTCATCAAAATTACAGTATACGTACTGTATATTGTAAATCTTGCTAAATTAAATTCTCCGTAGGAAAGTTGAACTGAGTTCGAAATTAGTTGTTGTAGCATACTCTAAAAATTTTAATTTATTTGAAATTTTACTTTAAAATTATGGGGTAATATGTAACCCACGGATTTATAATATATACCGATAACTCCAGGAAAAATCAAAATATAATTCCGGGCAAAATTAAGCCTGAAAAGTTTATCATTGACAGACATTCACAAATAAAGGAAGGGAATTCAATAAAAATACCATTATTAAGTTTAATTATAATAAATAATGCAAAAGTATGAAAGAGTAATACTTCTGGTCTACTCATAAATAATACATGATAAATCTAAAAAGAAATCAAAAACTGAATAGGTCAGATTGATAAACATTGCCAGTAGATTTATTTAAAGTTTGAATAAATATGTAATTTATATTACCGGAATTAAAATTAGAGTAGAGTAATTTTTATATTATCATTAAAACTAAAATTTTACATAAGTGAAAATAGAGGTGGAATCGGTTTTAAAAATTCGGAATTTATCACGCCAAATTCAATTTTTAAACCTCTAAGTGAAAAGTGCCCAGCTGATAAATCTGACCGGGATTTTGTGTAAAAATCATCATATGTGAAGAAGGACTATAAACACTGAAAGCAAGAATTAAGAAAATTGTAAAACTTTGAATAAATTCTTGTTTAAAACTTTTTTGACTTGTAGATCAAATTCTGCTTAAACCTTAATAAACTTAACGCAGGTCATTTAACAATTCAGGAAATTCATATATATGACTTAGATCTAACTGTTCTTTTGCATTTGTTCTAACAAAAATTTCAATAACTTTGTCTAAATCATTATCAAGTTTAAAACCTAACTCTTCCTCTTTTAACGTGTCAGGACCTAAATCTAGATTTCTAGCCTGCAGAACTTTGATCTTCTCGTGTTCACATGAATTTAGATTTGTTAGATCTTCAAAAGGATACATGTCTAACCATTCTTTGTCAGCTACAAATTTTTTGCTAAACTTAAATCAATAAAAAAACCCAAAGTAATTTACAATTAGTTTTCAAATAGAAAAAATTTACTTACTAGCTTGCAACAAATTTATTGCATACATCTCCTAACGTTAAACTAATTCCATTCACTCTGATAGCTTTGTTAACAAATTTATTGTTATCAAGCACTTCTACGACACATCTGCCAATATCAGCAAAAGATGTAAGAGACACTTTTTTATCTCTTTCTGCATAAAAGTTAGCATCTCTGGTAGTTGTATCAAATCCGAGCCAAGCAACATACTCGTAAGCTAATCCAGCGTAAAGATAAAAATAGTCAAGATTTACTTTGTGTAATTCCTCCTTTTCTATTTTTATTTCTATTAAATTGCCTTTTTTCATGATCTTTGTTTTCTTTACAACTTTTCTCTTTTCTAATACTTCTTGAAAGTCTTTTTTATCTTCGAAGGTATACCAAAATGGTTCAACAATTATTTCTTTAGAACTTTTAGAAAATATAATTAATTCTGTCAATTAAATCTTAGTTGCTTAAAACATAGCTTAAAATGTATTAACTTACTTTTTTGCAATAGAATTATAATCAACATAAAACTCAGACAGGACAAATCTTTCTATCCTTTTTATTCCTTCTTCATTTCTTTCAAATCTTTCATTAATTTCCAGTATGGCTTTTAGAAGGTTTATCTGAGCATTATAGCATGGCTTTCTGCTACCTATACCTAAAGCACTAACAACAAAGCTTGCTCCTGTTAAAGCTTTGACAAGTTCGTCATGTTTGTTATAGTCTACCAACTCAACGTTTGCACCTCCTTCTGCTAACTTTTTGGCTTTGTTTTCTCTTTTCAATTTTTCCTCTTTAAGATATTCACTGTTAGCATGCCGAATTACTTTGATTACATACTTCTTGTATCCATATTTAAGAAAAGCCTTAGCAATATTAAATCCTATATCGCCAGTAGCTCCGGTAATAACTGCAAGCTTTCTTTTATCACTTTCAGGAATAGTGGTTGGATAAGTTTCTGAGATGTTATTAAAAATGTTTTGCTTACAGAATTCTAATGCATCACCTTGCCCCTGGAATACCACTAATTTTAACAAATGGCTTGCTTCTTTTTTGTTTATACCAAGTTCCCATAAAATTTTTTCTTTCAATAGCTTTGCTTTAGGATTTGTCTCTTTTTCAAGCGTATTCAAATCTTCTAAAAGTCTCACAAAGCTCTTTATTTTATCAAATTTGTTATTTTGTTGTTCATAAACTAACATAGACCGCGTTACACTAGCAATGTTGGCATTGTTAAAGAGGTTAAGTGATTCTCTTTTTGAATGTGGTTTTTTGAATCTTTTTCGCAATTCGCCAAGAGTATCTTCATACATTTTTCCTAAAAATTTAGTACTCTTACAGAATCTCATCTGTTTTATTTTTTTTTTTTAAAAAAAACAACTCAAATATTTTAATGCAAAATGATTTTAAAATTGATATTACAGTACAATGAAAATTTAGAAATTTATTTAGAACTCGGATTGTTTTTAACTCTTATTATTTTCAAATCATTGAAATCAATTCTCATTAGGTTCTTTATTAAATTATTTTACTTGAAAAGCTCTTAATTCATGATTAAATATAATTTATTAAATTAATACTACTTTTTTGAGTTAAGAAAATTTTAATTAATTTAGAATAATTTCAATTTACAAGAATTAATATTTTGAAAATCTATCTTTTTTTTTTCTATAAATAGGACCATACAAAAACAATTCAACAAATACATATTAAGATAATTTTTTTGTAATTTTTGCATTTCAAACTAGAGAGTAATGAACAATTTTACAAATCCTATTTAACTAAAAACACATCACCTTTTAAATTAATTATTTTTGTTCTTAACTTTTTAGCAATAATTCCAAACACCATCCTGCTTATTTATTGCACCCATTTTGCACCAAGCGCAGTTTATTTCAACATCAAATAGAGTAAATATGACAACCCTGATTATTTCCCTTATTAAATTAAATATATAATTGGCCATTTAATTATGTATTTGGCGTTTTGCATAATTCTGTAATTTCAGTAATGGTAATATACAATCACTGTTTTACTATTACCAAGACGCCGATCATAACTTTTACTCTCACACAAAAAACTGTTCTAATTGTTTTAATTACTGAATTGGAGACTATATCGGGTTTTGTAACAATTAGTTGATCAAAGTACCCCCAACGCCATTATACCTCCCATTATTGTAAACTAATCTCTAGAATTTATAAAATAGTATTTAATTTAAATATTCAAATATTGTATTATATTAATTTTTCATATTATTAGATTGAATTATAGAGGTATTATTAGTTGTGATTTATAAATGGGCGGCTTGATAAAACTTTTCAGGTCTATACCCTAGTCAAACTCTATAAACACCAAAAAATTTTTGTGCATAAATTCGATTAATATTAATTTTATCTCTAAATGGAAGAAAAAACAGATGATGATTATTCCGACAATCAAATAAAAAGTAAAGATAAATTCGCTCTTGCTGCACAATTATACGAAGAAGGCAAATACAATCGTAGTTTGATCTTTTTTAAAACAATTATTGATGAAATTAAAGAAGAGCATCAAAAATTTGCGGCCGAACAGTATATTAATTTATGCAATAATAAGCTAAAAGAAAAAAATAATTCTACTTAGTAAAGCAAATCAAATTGCTTAATCCACTTTACCCTAAAACGATGTTTACTTTTTTCTTTATAAAAATCATTACACAGATATTCGCTACTTTTTTTACTTAGAAATTTCATATTGTATACTTTCAATTATAAAGTTATGCCAGTTAATAGCTGATAGATTGATTTAAATAAATTCGCATCTGTAGATCAAGATTAATCTTTAAATCTTTACAAATAAATTTCAATTCTACAGTTTCTGCCATGCATTCAATAGCAGGGGATGATAAATGACCTTCAAATAACCTCAATGCCCTCTTTATTAATTTAGTCTGAAAATGACATATCATTTGAAAAAAGGTAAATGACCACTATTTTACCATGGATGCAAATTATTTAAAAAGAAAATTCTGAAAGGTTCAAAGTAAAAAAATAAATAAATTGAAAATAAGTTCTATCTTATTGTTACGTAGAACGCTAATATTAAAAAAACTAAATAAAATCTAATATTTGATTTCAGAAACAACATAATAATCAAGAAACTTTGAAATTTTTTTTAAAAATATTTAACTGAGATTTAGATTATAATGGATCACGTTCATATAGATATATAAAATGTGATAAATTGAAAATTTTACCTAACGACTTGTGAATTTCGTTAGTTAAACTTTCTATGAGTTTTTTACTCATTTCATTGATTTTTTTTGTTAAAAAATTTATAACATGTTTTTTTACTTCAAATTCACTAACTTTGGTTAATAAAACATCATTTTTATTTTCTGTTGAAATGTTGTCTTAAAAAAATGCAAAATCAGCTTGTTGAATAAAAAAAAAAAAAATTCGAAAAAACAACACTTACTATAATTTATCAGGATTTTTTTGATTTTGTTGTTTAATAAATTTATTTTTTTGAATTCATAGTTTAAAAGGCTAATTTTTAACTTAATTTCATCAGTAAGTTTAATATTCAAGTTTATTTCATTTCTAGGAGTTGATCGAATATCTATTTTATATTGAATATCTAGAAATAAGTATTAAACCTAATATAATCATTAAATTTTAAGTTTAATTACAATTATTGTTCAACAAATTTAACTTGAATTCTAACTGATCTTTGATTAGTTTCATCATACTTGTCAATTCAGTTTTATGCGCCATGCCTAACAAAAAAATATAAAATATAAAATATTGATAATTATATATCAAGAAATAAATATTTACTGACCTTCGTCTTTGTCTTTCTTGTATATCTGTTATTACAGTATGTTTAAATTAAATTCTATTTAAAAAATTACTATGAAACAATTAAACTTTTAATAACTTGAGTCTTCTCAGTTTCCTTGAGTCTTGTTGAATTGCTCTTACGAGTTTCGTTTTCTTGCCTCAACTTATCATGTTCATAAATCAGATTAGCTTCATTTTTCTGTTTGAATTTTAAGTTGGTTCTTAAATATTTAAAAATGTATAAATATGGTTGAGGCAAAGATCATAATTAGTTATTTAAAGTATTCAAATATATTTACATTTTAATTTTCAAATTAGACACATTTATTTCTAACTTATCGCGTTCGCACTGTATTTCCCTATTTCTTTAAAAAAAAAAATAAGGAATGATTATGTGTATTAGTCAACGATAATTTAACTAAAACAATAAATACCTTGTCTCTAAATAATTAATTTGTATACTTTGTTCCTTCATTTTATTTCTTAAGTTTTTCATTTGAGTTTTATAATTACTTATTTTTTCTTTAAAAACTTCTAAGCGTTCGTTATTTTCCTTCTGAAGATGTTTTATGCGATTATTTTTTTTTCCATTTCATTTTTATGTCTTGCATAAGATATATGCTTTTTCGAACTATTATCTAAGTCATCTAACCTATTGATCACACTTTCCAAATATTGAACTCGACACCTCATATATTGGTCAAATGTATCAATATTATCTTCAATCCAAATAAAATTTTGTATCGAACTTTGAATAGGAACAATATTATTTATCTCTAAGATTTCATTTTTAAAGTTAAAATTTAATACCTGATTTACAAATTCTGGATGAAATTTCGTAAAAGGTTCAAAGCAAGAATTAAAAAATTTCAATGGATCATTGGCTGCAATTTGACAAAAGGCCTTAAATAAAAAACTAGGGTTTTGGAATACTTTAATATAAAACCGTGTAATTTCATTAGTGCTAAGCCTTAAACATCTTCCAATTTTTATGCATAACCATTGCAATTCAATATTTGCTAAAATAATTTCTTCATTTTTTTCAAAAATGTTGCCTAGTTTACTGTAAAAATGTAATGTATTAATTAATTTCTTTATTATAAAGAATAATTAGTTAATTAAACATACAGTTTATTACAAATTGCATTAATGTTTTATGCCGTAAGTTCATCAGTAATATTGAATGTAAATTTTGCCTTTGTAAATAATAAAATAACCTTAAAACAAACACAAAATAAAACAATTAAGTTATGGTTATTTTTTTAAGCATACCCATTCAAAAAACGTATCAGATTGATCTTGCATATTTTGTCTACCACAGTAGATAGCTTTATTATTTATAGACAGTACAGTTCTTTTCTAGAGTGAATTTTTAAATTGTTCAGACTGAATTGATTTCAATTTAAATTTTTTTTCATTGATTCTTATAATTGTTCATGCAATAACGGTTTTATTTTATGATTTACTATCTTAGATTTATGAAATAGGTTAATAATTTTATCATATAAAAATACTATAAAATAATTGATTTATTTTATAAACTGATCATAGTAAAGCATTAAATAACATCAAATACCTTTGAAAACTAAAATATGAAATAAATGTGAAAATTCTTTATTATTGTGAGTGGTTGACATTGTATTGTTTTGCATCACTTTTGATTAAATTTAGGATTACTGCGTAATGCCAAATGATTATTTGCAGCATTTTTATAATGTGAATCACTATTTGCAACTTCATTAAAGAGTTCATTGGCTTTGATATCATTTTTTTCAGGATTCCCATCTTTATAATATAATGCCAAATAATATTTTGTATAATCTTTATATATTGATTAGCTTTTAGAACCCGGATATAGTCCTGGTCTTAGTTTTTAATTTTTTTTTAATTCTTAGGACCCGGGCATAGCCCTGGTCTTAGTTTTTTAATTTTTTTTTAATTCTTAGATTTAATAATATTAGCTCTTAGGACCCGAATGTAGTTTTGGTCTTAGTTTTTAAATTTTTTTTAATTCTTAGATTTTAATAATATTAGCTCTTAAAACCCAGATATAGTTCTGGTCTTAGATTTTAATAATATTAGCTTTTAGGACCTGGATGTAGTCCTGGTCTTAGTTTTTAATTTTTTTTTAATTCTTAGATTTTAATAATATTAGCTCTTAGGACCCGGATGTAGTCCTGGTCTTAGTTTTTAATTTTTTTTTATTTCTTAGTTTTTAATTTTATTCTAATTCTTAGAATTTTATTATATTAGCTCTTAGGACCCGGACATAGTCCTGGTCTTAGTTTTTATTTTTTTTTAATTCTTAAATTTTAATAATATTAGTTCTTAGGACCCGGGCGTAGCCCTGGTCTTAGATTTTTAAATTTTTTTAAATCTTAGATTTATAAATTAAATTTTATTATAATTAAATTAATTAAATTATATACAAATAAATAAATAAATAAATAGAAAATTACTACGTTTAACCGAGGGGGATTATCCTCCTCTTAGTTATTTTTAGAGTTAGGGTGCGGGTTTAGGAATTTTTTTTTTATATAATATAATATAAAGTAGATATAAGGTTTCGATTTTAGTTCTTATGAGGTTTTCAGGGGTCCTGAACATTTTTACTTAGGGTACCCGATCCTGTTTACTTAGTACGTTTTTGAGATATAGCACCCCAGGTATAATTCCCCCCGGTTAAAATTAGCAATACTCAAATAAATAAATATATTAAATTATAAGTTATATTGTTTTTTTTTTAATTAAATTAAATTAAATTTTTATTTTATTTTATTTTTTTTTTAGATTAATTTTTTAAATTATTGTTTTTATATTTTTTTAAATTAACATTTTTATAGTTTTTTTAAATTATCTTTTTTATTTTTTTTTTTATATATTATTTTTTTTTATTTTTTAAATTATTATTTTATAATAAGTAGATATTTAAAAAATTTCTTTTTCATAGATCAAGTAATTATTGAAAATTAACCTTATTTTCTATATTTATTATTATTATTTTTAATATACAAAAGGCATTTAATTAGATAAACTTTCAATTAGATTTATTATAATGCAGAAATAAAACTTTATAACAAAAACACCTAAACAATTAAAATTATTCTATTAAATGAATGCTTAAATTTTAATTTTTCAATTAATTGTTTTGGTATAGTATTGAGACAACTAAATTTAAAAAATGTTTGTTCTCACATTTATTTGTCCATCTCTTGGTAACAATTAATGTATCTAAATGAATGAGATATTTATGATTTTTATACTAAAATGTTTTCCTTTTAATATAAAACCAGTGTTTATTTAATGGGAAAACGATGCAATTTATTTTTTTTTTGAATATTTTATCATGCATGTGCATAAATCTTCCTTATCAATAAAAATAAAAAATTTATTGGAGCCAAGAGGATTTAAAGTTAAGCCCTTATACTCTACCGAACAATATTCTACTATTGAAGTCTCTTTCGAAGGATTCCTTCGTAATCTTATTATTTGGAATAAAGAAATTTCTAATAGCAATGATTATCTTGAGCTATACCAAATAGCTTCAAAGTTTAGAAAAGGTAAATGGTTAATTGTTGGAAATCTTTTAGGAGGTACTTTTCATCATGACTTATGGGAAGAATACTAGCTAGAAACAAAGAAAAGTCTTAAAAACAATATGTCATATTTAAGCGAATATGAGATACTTGACGATCTAAAAGAAGAATATTTCGATTTTTATGCTAATGCTAAAAATATAAAAGACGACATAAAACTTATATTTGTACCTTACATGACAACAAGTACGCTTGGTCTTAAAAAATCTATAATTGAATATAATTATATATTATTTACCCAAAGACTAAAGAAGTGTCTTGAAAACTTTACTCAAAATTAATTTTGCTTGGAATTGATATTTCTATTTTTATCTTAAATTTTATTTCCCAGAATTATATTTTAATTTAGCTTGAATTTGTTTTGTTTATATTCAATTTTCGTCTTATTTGAAGTTGAAGCTAATAAAATTTGATTTCCGGAATTATACTTAATTTTGCTTGAAAATATATTTTGATTTTGCCTCAAGTTATGCCTAATTTTGCCCGGAATTTAACATAATTTTGCTTGAAATTAAACATAGTTTTGCTTGGAGTTATGCCCAATTTTGCTCGGAATTTAACTTAATTTTGCTTGAAATTATATTTTGATTTTTCCTAGAGTTATGCATAATTTTGCCCGAAATTATGCATGAATTTATAATTTTGAATTTACGGAATTATGATTTAATTTTGCCTGAAGTTATACCTAATTTTGCCCGGAATTATACTTAATTTTTGAAATTAGCATGACCACCAAAATCAGTTACGCAATTGTTATTTAAAATTTGATACTCAGTCAGATCAACAGACAATATTATAAATTTTATAGCGTAAAAAAAAGGAAAAGCTAAGTTCGTCCAAAATTATTCGGTGACCTTTATTATCTTTTATCTAACTACATATTACATTGAATTTCGAATTTTATTACCAATAAAAAGTATTTTTATTTTGGTTTATGAAAAATTTTTTGTCTGGTTCAGATTTGTTGCATCATATACCCATCTTTTGAATTGGTTTGAAATTTGATTCAACCATTTCTTTGCTGCAGAAAATTATAAGACTTTTCAAGAATATCAAACGCCCATACCAGAATAATATCGATAAATGCTTATGTCGTACAGTATAATTAATTTAATAAAAATAATAAATAAAGCTACCCTCATGAAGATTTTTTTTATATTGTTACAGAGTAGTAGCCTTCTTAATTTACTCTATAACGACAACACGGAACAGGGAATCCTTTCATAGATATATGCGGTGTCCAAGAGGTAAGTATAGCTTCTTTTCTCTTTAAGAAACTATACCCTTCTCTAAGGCAGTTCGTGG